GAGGAATAGTCTGGATTTCTTCCTAGCCACACACCACCCCTTGAAGCCTTGCCTTGGGCCGCCCTTAGTTACCTCTGCGCCCCTCTCCCATTCTCTCTCATCTCTCCTCTCCCCTCCCCTCCGTTTTCCCTCCGCTCTCCTCCCCTCCCCTCACCTCGGCACACCAGGCGTTCCCCGAAGCAGCATCGGTGATAGGCATGCACGGGCTGCTGCCAGGGGACGTGGTGCAGCAATTCATGGAGCTGGCAGCGCATGCCAAGGCAGCGGCAGCGGAGGCCATGGACATAGAGACACAGCTTGATGATATCCCCAACGAATTCCTCGACCCCATCCAGGTGTGCGCCTGGCTCTACACTCCGCCCTTGCGTGTGCTGCGCTGTGATCTTTTCCGTGCTCTGCCTTCCCTGCTCTCTTGTTTTTCTCCGTTGCACTGTGCGGAAGCCCTTCGGATTCTGTACTCTCCAACTCCTGCGCACTCCATACCCTGTGTCATCCCCTGTGCTGCACTGCTTCCATCATTTGGCTGCCGGGTGCTCGTTTCCACCACCTTCCCATTCCCCCCGCTCACTGCCGCAGTGCACGTTGATGCGTGACCCGGTGACACTGCCATCAGGCAACGTGGTGGACCGCCCTGTCATCCTCAGACACCTGCTCAGCGACCCGGTCCGTGCTCCTGCCATGCCATCCGAGGATGCTGAGCCATGCCATGCCACGCCATGCTATGAAATGCCCAGGGGCATCCAGCACTTTTGCCAGGCACAGCGAGCCACATGCCATGCATATTAGCGCTCTCCCACACCACCTCTCCGTTTGTCCATAGGCTCTGCGTACGTCCCACATCACTGCTTGCCTTGCCAGCACCCTTACTCATCGCTTTCTTATCTACAATCTCCATCATCGCACTCATGAGAGGCACTCATGAGAGGCTGTCCCGTGCCCTATTACTCACAGTCCTTGCACCTTCCTGCCCTATCCGATCCCCCGACCCCTTCTCCATCCATCCCTGTGCGGCGCCAACAGAAGGACCCGTTCACCCGTGCGCATCTCACAGCAGAGATGCTTGTGGCCAACACAGAGCTCAAGGCCCGGATAGATGCATTTCTTGCCCAACATAAGGCCAAGCGGCAGCAGTAGTGGCCGCTGCAGCTGCAATTGCAGCTGCACACGAGTGCTTGTGACAGGGCTACTGTGTTGATGGGATTGTTGACCGTGATATTTAGCGGCTTCAACTGAACTGGATGTTTAGAAGCCGATGTTTGCCCTGTTTAAGAAAGGACAAACCAGGCGTATTCAGGCCGGGTTTCAATATGAGGTGAATGCAAGGAATGTAGGAGGCCATTTCCTCCAGCATTGTTTTACGTATAGGTAAGATTACAGGAGCTGGGTTCCATGGAAATGGACCCAACCAGTCTATATCACATTCCAATCCCCACCATTCACATCTGTTTACCTTATCGCTGCTCTTTTATATCAGTTATCGTGTCAGGCCACAAACAAGGCGCTCAGCGGACAAGCTGCGCTCAGCGGACAAGCTGCGCTCAGCGGACAAGCTGCGCTCAGCGGACAAGCTGCGCTCAGCGGACAAGCTGCGCTCAGCGGACAAGCTGCGCTCAGCGGACAAGCTGCGCTCAGCGGACAAGCTGCGCTCAGCGGACAAGCTGCGCTCAGCGGACAAGCTGCGCTCAGCGGACAAGCTGCGCTCAGCGGACAAGCTGCGCTCAGCGGACAAGCTGCGCTCAGCGGACAAGCTGCGCTCAGCGGACAAGCTGCGCTCAGCGGACAAGCTGCGCTCAGCGGACAAGCTGCGCTCTGCGGAACTTTAGTGGCCGCCTTGTGAACTACTTCAGGAATGCATGAAGAACATCGGGCCAATCGTTCGACAGACGTCCCATCCACCCAGCTGTCCACCACGCCTCCCCGTTGAAGCTGTCAAAGCTGGCGCAAGTCCAAACGTGTCAAATCGAGATTGTCTAGTCGAGCCGCAATCCGCATCTTTAACCTAGTATCAGGCGGTTCGCCAGGGGGATTTAATGGATGGCTGGGATGAGTTCGATATCCCCCAATCGTGTCGCATTGTTTCGTCCCCGTCTCCTCGCTTTAACCGCTCAGTCAGCGGCCGTCAACTCCATCGGTCTAGTCTTGTCAAAATCTGGTGTACTGACGACCGTGTCGGACGAAACGACCAGGGGAACGTTAACAGCGGAAGCAGTGACAGCAGAGAGACGTGCGACTATCCGTGTGGCGTAATCGAGCATTGTCACCTTTGCTCGTCATGTACTCTTGGCCCGTCACTCCATCTCCTTCCACCAGCGGGGTAACCTCCTCCCCTGCTCTTGTCACAAGGCTGCCATGCCTACATAAAAGCCGAGTCCGAAGTCCGGCCGTTCCTTCGCATCGACGACCAAGGCTTTCAGTCTATGGCCCTGGGGCGGCCGGGATGGGCGCAAGTGAGGCGCAACGTGGGGAGGGCGCGCAGGCAGTGAAGGGAACAACACAGAGTGTCAAGGGAGGCGGAGGGGCAGGGGGGAAGGCGCCAGGCTGGTTAGGCAGACACACAGGCACTCAGCATGTGAAGCAGCACGGACTTCCAGAAGTTCAAGATGTTCGGCAGGAGGACTGGCAAGAGGCTAGGGAGGAAAGGCGGGAGGACGGATGGCAGAAACCTGTGGTGAAGCACGGGAAGCAGCAGGAGGTACAGGAGGAGGCACAGGCGGAGGAGGAGGTGCCTAGAACCCTGGTGCAAGCTGCAAGGTGCTTCTTGAGGCAACCTGGAGTGCTGCTAGGCATATCTGCCACGCTCTCTGCCACCTGCTTGCGAGCCATGCACCCACACTGGGGGGTCCGAGATACTGCTGGTATGGTGCTGGCTCGTACCTTCCTCTGTTTGCTCTCTCCCTCCCTTCCTCTATCTCACTCACTCTCTCCCCATCTACTTCTCCCCCTCTCTCCTCTTTTCTCCTCCTCTTTCCTTCTCCCTTTCTCCCCTTCTCCCCCTCCCCCGCTCTCCCCTTATCTCGTTCTCTCCCTCTCCCCTCTTTCCCCCCCACTCTCCCTCCCCCTCCCCCCCCCCCCCCCACCCCCCCCCCCTCCTCTTCTCTCGCTTCCTCTTCCATCGTGCCCACTCGTCGGGCTGATACTCACCTTCGTCATTGCTTTTGTGGTGAATCTGCAGTCGCTGCAGCAGCCGTGTGTTGGTGGCTCCTGCAGGAGTGGGTGCTTCATGCAAAATTGCTACACAGCTCCTTCCCCTGGTACGATCGCCATCGCCATCTCACAGGCCTACCACCTGCAGTGACTGCACACTGCCACCATCTGTTACCGCCTTAAATCTTCTCACATGTGACTTCTTAGGCGGACTCCCAACCTATTTTTCTGGGTGGGCAGGTGGGGTCGGTCCATTCATGCAAAGCACCACAGGAGGCCGTACCATCATGTGTCGGTGGACAAGCCAGACGTGGTTCTCCCTGTGATTGCTGGTGCTGCCATTGTATCTCGCCTCATTCTTGGGGTGAGTATCCAACAATGATGATGGACATTTACAGGTGGTGTTTGTCGTGTGCATGAAGCCCTGTGCTTGCGTTCCCGTATGTTTTGTGTTACTGCATACATCAAGTCCATCTTCTGCATCTCCTCAGCCCATCCTGCTGTGCATCTCCTCAGCCCATCCTGCTGCGTCATTCATCTATCCATATCCTTGCCCGTTGTTCGTGTTCAGGCATCGACTCTTTCGCTGACTGCCCTCATGGCGTACTATCTTATGGCTATCACGTATGAGTGGACTCACTTTCTGTAAGAGCCGCATATTCTATTCATCCCGTGGTTTTATGTTATTTCCACTATATAGCTATTTGCCAGCTCAGCTCTCAAACTGACTTTTAGAGCTCTTGCTCCCCCTGCGCTTATCCGTTAATGTTTGCCAGAGTACACACACATGTGCCCATGCATTCGCGAATTTCTCGAGCCATCAAGAATGCTCATATCAAGCATCATCTTAGGGATTCAAGATATTGGTTCAGTTTCACATGCCCCCCACTGGACATTATGTTGGGTACCGTACCCAGTAGTCACTAGAAGCAAATGTGAGCATTAATGGTGCTTGTATGAGTTTTGAGGTGTAGGAAAGCAATTTATAAAGGAATGCGCAGAACTTTTTGCTGGTTTCCATGCAATTCGAAAGATGTGGCTGTCGGTGGCCGACAAACCCACCTACACGATGTGCGTGCTGGTCTCGCCCACCATTCGAAATTCATCGCGAGCCTTATGGCTGCGACCACTAACGAGTCACCGAATGTCGCTGACGGGCAAACGAACGGGAGAGCTGACCGCGTGCGACTCCGCGTGGGCGGTCAGTGAGTTGGTCAGGTACAGAACAGACCCAGGAAGCAGCCTGCAGCAACCCGCAAGTAAACAAGAGATGCAGAGCAGGCGGCGTCACGCTTTTTCTTCCCCCAAATTCCCGCCTTATCAAAAGTCCGCGCTGAGTTTTCGCCGAGCCATATGCCCAACCAAACTCTCCATCCATACCAGCTCCGTCGGCGACGTGTCGACAAGAGCCAGTCACCACCAGCGACCACCCGCATGTGGTCTAGGGAGCACCGAACCGAGCCTCGGCTATTGCGAAGGGAAAACCGAAAACGGGGTGGAATCGAAGGGGGAGAGAAGGTGCCCTAGTAGCCGTTGGTTGGTTGGATTCCCGCTCACACGTTGCACTGATGTGTCCCTTTCCTCCCATCACTTGTTAGTTACCCCTAGCACTCCGCACAGCTGCTGTGTTCACATTTCCAAGCTCCAGTTTCACGCTCGCCCTGGAAGTAACAAGGCCTCGCCTGCTCAGATTCCTGCCTATCACAACAGGCATCAAGGAGAAGGTTATTGGGCCTTTTCCATTCTGAGTTCGCGTTAGCAGCAAGCACACAAGTCCATCATAGTGTACCATTCAGCTTCCCAGCTCAGTGTCTCTACCCACTTCCTGCCTTACTGCTCAAGGACGTTGTGCCACGATGACGCCACAGATTTCTGCGAGAGGGTGTTTACTTCTGTGCTTTCTGGTAGTGGCAAATCGTAAGTAATCTCTCCTTACACGAAGTGCCCCGTTTCCTTAGCTAATCTCGTCACCTCCATCCATCCCTTTCTTGCCATTAGTGTCATCGTTTGAAAAGTAAAGTCAGCGGTTTTATTGACCAATGAGTACCCTAATAACTGCCACTTTTTCAGAGCGTCAGTATGCTTCCGAGACTCCGACATGGCTATTGTTTTGCTGTGTCCCCCAAAGTCTGTCCTTTGCTCGGTCCTCTTTCTCCCGTTGATAACGTATCGCCTTTTCCTTCTTTTCCTTTCCTGGTTTCCGCAGCCTTTGTCGTCAGATCTGCAGACGTGACGATAAGGAGCGTGACGCTAGAAAGAGATTTTCTGGGTATGAACGCGTTGGGTGTGGAGGTGTACATGGAGTGTGTTAAAGATAATGAGAAGATTACGCTGCCAGGCGTGGAGACGAAAGGCGTCGCCGTTAACTACACCGGTCAAGAGGCATGGCAGGTAAGGAGGGTGGCTTAGTCAGGCAGAAAAGAGCGCGCACTGCCGTAACGACAGACTCTATTGTTGTAGTTTGCTTGCTCGTAACTGGATTCAACCTCCCCTTGATGGCTTTTGAGGTTATGTCGCTCCGGTTTTGACAACCTTTCAGCGTCTCCGTGACACTTACTTTCGGTGCAGTCACAGCGCTAACGGAAAAATTAACCCGCGCTTCCTTTGCTCCTCCGCAGAGGTTATACCGGGGCAGTGTTGTTCACATCTATCGTTCCTCTTTACTGATCCCCCCCTCCCAACGCCTCTCTTTCTCACCTGCTTTTCTCGCTCACACTCACATGACCTCACCATTTCCTCTCTCTCCCTCTGTTCTCGCCACTTTTGCCAGCCCGTGATGAAGCTGAACCCGGGAGAGTGCAAGAGGTGCACCGTTTACCAAAAGAAGAAGATTCTTTTCGGTATCCCCGCGCCCACGGCTCAATGGACCACCTGCTACGCCAACTTCACCACCGTCAATCCTAACCCCCCTACGGGCTCTATGCTCCAAGCAGTGCAGCCCAGCACAGGGTTCGTGACGTTCAACAGCCCCACTCAGCTGATTGCCGTGCTGGCTTGCCCTGACTGCAACCAGCCTTCGCCTCCTGAGGCCGATTCGTCATCGCCTCCTGCCGACTCCTCTACTGGCAGCAGCACCAGCAATGCTGCAGATTCCTCCTCCACTCCCTCCTCTCCTCCCACCTCCACCGCGTCTGGTGTGCCCAGCAATGTCACCTCATGGATGGCTGATGCCCCCACCACAGAGGAGGGCAATTACGACGTGACCATGTATGTGGCGATTGGAGCGACGCTGCTGTCAGTGGGGGTGGTGCTGTTTGTGGGAATCATAGTGTTTTACTTCTGGCGCAGGGCGAAGGTGGCTCAGACGGAGGCGGACATGTACAGGGACCAGGCAGAGAAGAGTCTGGAGAGAGGTGCAAGTGATGGGGGTGACCTTCCAGTCTCTGGGGAGGCTAGGGTATGAGGAAGATGAGCAAGGACTCAGCAGCAAGGGTACTCCAAGGAGACGCTTTGCTGCATTGCTGGCTGTCATACTCATTCCTCGCTGGCATTAGACAATTTCTCGTTGGCCCTTAGTTAATGATTGCGTCCTTTTGATTACTTGCTGCTCAGGTTTTCTGGTGTGGAAATAGCACTCATGCTAAGCCATACATGTATTTATTTTCTACTAAAGTGACGGATGTGATCCCATCCCAGCTAAAGCGTTAGGGTACATTCCTGTGTCACAAAATACTAGATACGGTGCTGTGCAAATATTTTTCACCTGATGCTGTGGTGCAGCACGTGTCTTTATGCAACAACTTTCTGCAGAAACGCCCTTCTTTCTCGCTCCACAAGAAGCTTTCCCATATTCAGAAGGCTGCCGATATTTTATTCATAGATAACACAACAAAGAACTACTACAAGGAGAATTCAGAAAGAAAGATGCCACATGGGACAGGCGAAGTGGTGATTGTACATACAACACTCCAGACACTGCAGAGGCTGGGGCATAGAATAACAAAGTTTGTCAGTAGAAAGTCAGGGATCTTGCGTGCAGCAGCAGGCTGGGCAGTGTGAAAACCCGCGGACGGTGAAATGGAAGGCGCAGGCCTCATGGCTAGGGCGAGCGAGTCCTACAGTCATGTCATAAACCAATCTTAGAAAGTGCAGGTACAGCCAGGTTACACTCCCAACATCCCCGGCAGAAGCCACAGAAGGAAGAAGATTCCAGCACCAACAGCTACATCAGAGCCATTCTTCACATGTCATGTCACCATCCTCTGCTCCTCCCCCGTTCACCGTGTTCCCCTGAGATCCACAACCACAACACTGATGTTGTCCCCACTGCCACGCACCAGAGCCAGCTTCGTCAGCACAGCAGCAGCCAGAGCAGCCGGGGTCATCTCCTCCTCCCCCTGGGCGCCGGCAGCAGCAAGAGTCTCCGCAGCAGCAGCAGCCGTCTCATCCCCAGCTGGAGGCGCCTCAGGCGCAGCTCCGGCCGACCCTGTGCCTCCCGAGCCTCCACGTTGGGCGAGGCAACGGCGGGCAATGTCAACAGCAGCCTCATTGGAAATGACGTCCCAGAGTCCATCTGAGGCCAGCACTACTAGCTCGTCGTCTGGGTGGCGCTCCGTGATCGTCACCTCGGGCTCTGGAATCACATAGGGCTTCAGATAGCGATCGCCTGGGGTGACAGGTGGGGAGAGGAGGTGAGGTGGGGCATGGGGAGAGGTGCAAGCATGGAGATGTGGAGCCACCCTTGGGCAAGTGGCACCATGCCTGAGCCTGTAGCGGAGCCCGTGCCTGAATCTTTGACCCAGTAAATGAGCAGCTCGGACTTTCTAGATAACGTCTGTCTTATATTCCTTGTACCACGGATTTGCAACAAGTTGTTAAAAGGTATACTTGACCACCGGCAATGCATGCACTCACCAATGGCACGTGACATGGCCAGCACTCCAAGCACTCGGTAGCCGTTCCAGAAAATGACACGCCCGCCTGCCTTCTCCACCCGCTTCATCTCATCCTCGCGCTCAGGCTGCCAGGCAAGGAAGGGAAAGGGGAAAGGAGTAAGGAGGGGAAAGAGTGGGGGAAGAGGATTACAGTAATAGCATTGGATACTGATCAACACTCGTCACATGTGTAGTTCACACAGGGGTCAGCCCATGCAGGAAACGTCAGAAATGTGTGACAACACTCCACACCTCTCCCTTTCCACCCCCCTAAACTTGCCCATCCTTTTCCCGTGTGCCCGTGACCCTATGCCTGCCTCTCACCTTGTGGTCCTTGGACAAAGGCACGGCCTTGCCCCCCCTGCACAGCACAGCGCGGGAGTCCCCGCAGTTGCCCACGACCAGGTGGTGAGCCGTCACCACCAGCACCACAGACGTTGATCCCACCGTCTCCGCCGCCAATGGCTCGTGCACGCACTCGGGGCCCATGCCGCCCCCCTCCGCGCCTGTTGCCCCGTCGCCCGCGTTACCAGATGCGCCGTGGCAGTGGGAGCGGCGGAGGAAGCAGTGGCCGCTGATCTCCGCGTCCATGCGCGCGAACGACTGCACCATGGCGCGCTGCCAGTGCGCATGCAGCACCGGGTCCACCTTCTGCGCGCCCTCCGCGCCCGCCTCCGCGCCGGCCTGCGCGCCTGTGGCGGCGGCAGGAGCAGCAGCAGCAGCGTCGGGCGTGACCGGGGGAAGGGGCTCGATACCTGAGAGTGTGATAGAGAGCTCTTCTGCTAGCGCCGTGGCCATGTGGGCCGACAGGAAAAGTGCCGCCTGATTTTTATTTTAGAAAGGGGGAAACGGGGTGGAGGGGGAGAGGGGAGCGGAAAGGGGAGGAGTGGGTAAGGGAGGGGGAAGGGGAGGGGCACACTGGAACAGGCAACACATGCAATTCTTCCTTCCAGCACGCATACTTCAACATCCGAACACAGTGCAACAAGCGCGAAACCCCTCATGCGCACTGCCCCCCATAAGCGCTCTCCCACCCCTTTCCTCTCCTGTCTATCCCCCAACCCCCTTTATCTCCTCGCCTGCGGAACGACTACCGCACCTGACTGCCGCCATGGCCGTCGAACACGGCGAACATGTGCAGCTGGCACTGCGGGTCGTCCGCGCCCTGTCCTCCGCACGAATCGCTCCCCGCGAGCGAGCACCCCGCGCGGCTGGCGCACGGCACGAGCGCGAACGCGGGAACCATCGACACCGCGTCCTCCATCTCCCGCCGCCGCCCGCACACCGACAGCACCCCGTTCCCCGGACATTCGTCCGCCGGCGCGCCCTTGATCTTTGCCCCGCTGCACGTGCTGGGCGGAATGACGCGCGGAGGCAGCGGCACGAACGCCGTGGCGTCCGCTGCCGCCCCCCCGACCCCGTCCATCCCCAGGCTCTGAAGCTTCGTCTCCTCCTGCAGCAAGCTCGCCGCGACCGAGATCGCAGCGTCTACCTCCGCGTCGTTACCCTCGCCGCTGCTTGTCGTGCCGCTCGAACTGGTCTCCGACGACAAGTCGCTGCTGGAATCCTCGTCATCTCCCCCCTCCCCTCCCCCGCCTCCCCCGTCCCCCTCTTGCCCGTTCACCCCTCGCGGAGACTTCGACCCGGACGAGCCCTCGGCGGAGGCGGAGTCCCCCTTGCCCTTGCGCGGGCGGCGGAACTGGCTCCGGCGGAACTTGGTGCGGAGGGCGGTGTAGGCGGCGGCGGTGATGGGATCGGAGGAGGAATTGGGGTTGGAGTGGGGAGGGGAGATGGAGGAGGGAGAGATGGGGAAGGAGGAGAGGGAGGAGTTGGTGCTGGAGTCGTCGCTATTGTCGCGCTTCTGAGGGAGCAGACCCACGCCTAGGTGCTTACGACACACAATCAGGCCGCTGCCGGCCATGGCGGAAGCGGCGAGTCCCAACGGGAAGGGAGGTGAAATGAGGACATAAGAGGGGAAAAGAAAAAGACATGAAAAGTAAGGACGGAACTAGTGTACCGAGAGAAAGCGTGGATACGAGGCCATTTCTTACGATGCAGGACAGCAAATATGAAACTGCAATAAGATGGAATGTAGCAAGGCCAGGAAGAAGAAGCGTCACATAATGTGACTCGCACCCCACATCTGAACGCAACCGCGTAATGTGAAGCAGGATTACTGTTGAGGCAACGATTCGGATGGCACCCCAGAACGAAAGCGAGAACAGAGCCACGACTTAACAACCGTACGAGTTTCACTAGACACAAAACAACGGGTGTTGTTACCTTGGTGTGGTCGCCTTTTTGCGACGAAGGTCCATGCGACGCTGCCTCGCTGCTGCTGCGCTTGGATCGAATGCACTGTCGGCCATGACGCTGTCAATGCTTCAGTCGCACCGACTCTAGAGATCGCGAAGGCGAAACTCCCAACCTTGTCTACTACACGGCGTAATTGGTTCAAAAATCAAAAGCTCAACCCGAATAAGAAACTCTTTGTAATGGTACTGATAGCGAACACCAAAACATAAGAATGGCTGGCTGACGAGCTTGGGCGCGTGTTTCTGGAAAATAAAAGGAACCCTCCACAAGACAGACCCTCTAAATGGCTTAGCAGCCTGCGTCCTTGAAATATAAAGGGAACAGGAAGAAGCGCCTAGGTGTCAAGAACCTTACGAATACGAGGTGCGTTGCACAGAGCAGATCGAGAGTCCAAGAGTCTCGATTTGAAAATTGAAAGCTGAAACTGGAGACGAGTCACCAACAAGTCACCAGTCACGTATCACGCCAGGCACGACAGCCAGTGGCTTGGTTTGACACTTCCCAACCAAACCATATTATCCCCACTAACCTGCACTCACAGCCGCACCTGACTTCGACCGAAGCTGGTGGCCTTGGCCTGGAACGGGCTGCTTCGGTGCACGTCTTTGCCGTGAGAGGCGTGACTTCCCCACAATAGATCTGGCGAATGTGGACAGAGGGTGGCGGACGGGGTGTTTGCTTGCAGCAGACAACCAACAAGCGCAAGCCCGGCCGTGTCAGGGTGTGCGCGGAATATGAACAACAGATTCTCCTTCCGACAGCGCGCGGACCTGCTCACCTACCGAATGACAACCACCCAGGCTCGGCGAAGTACGGAACAGTACAGTTCCATCTTCCCTGCTGCCCCGACACGCACGCCCCACGTCAGTCCATACCTGAGACCGAGCCAGAGACGATGCCAGGTCAGCGTCGCTCGGGTGGTTGCGTGAGCTCAGCTCACCCCAATCAGAACTGTTGATTGGTGGAATTAAAACGAACAGAGTGTATCCACAATGCCGCTTGAGTCACAAATCGCCAGAGGCTAAAGTTCCTGACCGTATAGAACCGCGTCAAACAAGCCCTGAACCAAAGAAGGATCACCCATCCACCCACCTGACTTCTGCGTGCCTGCTTCACCTCTTTCTTGAAGGAGGGGTACGAGCGCCGGAGGTGTTTTTGAACGGTTGAAAATGTTCCTAAACGGTGCGTCGTTCTCCACTTCTTCAAAGCTGAACCGTCAGATGAAATGTACTATGCCCCGATGAAGCAAACATCAGCCAAGTACACGTAACTTGGCAGTTCGGGCAGCATAAGAGATGCCCAACTGGCATAGACATGTGTAGTCCGCTTTCGTCCGAGCAATTTCGTCCACTTACCATACCTCTGGTACATGCGATCCCCAACCAATTCGAATCCTCCGATCCCGACCTCTGCTCAACTTGCCCAGATTCTCGCCGATAAACTTTCACACTTAGTGTGGTTCTACAAGCATTTTAATAGCGATAAGGCGACTGCAGACGTGGGCAATGGGTCGTCCACACGAATCAAGTGTCTTCCCGTTCAGGAAGACATAAAGGAGGTCGGTCACAAACAATTTGGGCCCACAGCGATTCACCCGCAGCGCAGTCTGTCTGACACGAGCGAGTTACATATTATTTCTGGTGCACTTATCACCACAGATTATCACCTACTCGCCGCCGACCCAACAGCTTATCACCAAGCCTGTAGGCTCCTCCAGATGCATCCATTTCAGGCCATCAGTCGGACCGTCAGGTTAACTCGACAGGTCGTCGTCACGTCAGCTGACCGCGAGGAAAAAAGAAAAAGAGCCCTCTTGGCGTGGCGTGGTATACGACCCGAAAAGCAATCAACGACATCTTGATTCCGCATGCCCGCGATCAGATGACACTGACAGCCAGACGTTGCTCAGCGTCTCTCCCAAGCCCCCACAGTTGATCAGTTGACTCCCGGTGAACTTGTCCGTACGAGGCGACCCCATGCTGTGGTACAGCGGCAAATCGATGATGAAAAGGCCACACAGAAGCTTTCCAGTACGGTGGCGTGCTCTGACGTGCGCATCCTTGCCCTACGGGGTCCAATGTCTCCGTTTTCTCCCACAACTCCTCGTTCCGTGGATAATCGGCGATTGCCATTATCGACGCGTCCATCAACACCAGGAAAGCAATAGAGCGAAGCACATAGTAGTCGGCCGTGCTGAGTCTTGAGTAGTACGCGGCTCCAGCTTCACGCCTGTTTCTGTTCGTTTCTCGCATTCTCGACGACACCAGCGATGGCGCTCTTCGGTATCGCCAGTCCCCGCAGCCGCACTAGTGCCGAACGGCGCCTCGTGTCCACGAAATCCCGCAGAGCTGCGGCCGTGAAGAGTATTCGTTGTTTTTTTCTCCTCATGCTCTCGGCGTACCCTTTCCTCGTCGTGCGGCCAGTTACCGCAGGTGAGTGAGTGACCCTGGCGGCGGTGTGCCACGTGGCAGCATACAGAAGTATCCGCACTGGACGCCTGCGGGCTTACACGAAGGGTTGAAAGGATACTGCTGCCTCCGCTTTGGCCCAATGTCCTACGGGGGAGCCGGCGGCCCAAATTGTTCATGCTTTTAAAAGTTGACCAGAGGGAGTTTTTCTGGTGTGGGCTTTGGCGAGAGTTTCCGATTTCGTCTAGGTTCGTTTTTTTCGCGAGACCCAGCCAACCCTCGGTTTTCCCCCTGGTGAGTGAATCTGTCTTCGAAAGTCCCAAATTGCAAGTGCGTGACTTTCAAAAGCTTGGACACTCAACTTCGTCAAGTTTTAAAAACTTGACCCTCGCGGCCTGCAATTTGGGACGCGGGCTTTAAACGCACGGAGATTCAATCAACCGTGTACACGTTTATTCAAAATCAAACGCGGTCCTCTGATACGTTCGCGATCTCGCGTGTGGACCTGGCTCGCGGCAAGCGTGATCAGCTAGCGCGTGCCATCGCTGAAACCGAATCGTGCCAATGCTTGCTTATGGCGCGGCCGCAGGCGACGTTATGCGAGAGGCAGTGCAGGTGAAGGAAGGACGAGCAGCGTCAGGACAAGGAGCCGCGTCAGGCGGGGCCATGGAGGTGATGATGGCGCGAGTGCGAGTTGCTGGCGGGAAAGGCGCGAGTGGGAGCGGCGCGCTGCCCGAGGTGCCGAATGTGTTTCCGCACGCTCCTGACAACCCGGAAGAAGTCGGCACATACGTGCCCATCGAATTCAGGTGCCCGACATCATTCGTCTCATGCCTTGATGCTGCACCCTCTTTTGACACATTTCGAATTACCGCAACTGCCAGGTGTTATTAGAAACTTTAAATGCTATCGGGACTTTTCCCCGGCTTGTTTCCTTCGCCCACCACACACTCTCGACACTCTCCCAATCCTACCATCCCTTTTTCTCCGGCGATTCTCCCCCAGGAGCGTGTGCGGCTCAAGAGCCGGCCGCTGGGCATGCACATCAGCAGCGACGAGCAGACGAGCGTGTGGCTCAACTACTTTCAGAAAGACGCACTTCGTGGACCGAAGCTGAACTGCATGGGCCATCCCTGCCCGCACTTCCTCCGGTGCAGAGACGGGCTCTTGTGCCCCAACGTGTGGGCCTGTTGGAATAGCGAGTTTGTGGATCATGAGATGTTTGTCACTACCCGAACTGCCCGAACCGGGCAGCAGGGGACAGAAATTTGGAGGACGAGGAAGGGGAGTATGACGAGTCGTGCAGCCACAAGGCGGATCATGGGCTGCGCGAGCCATGGGCTCTGCAGAACTTTCAGCTGGCGGATGTGTACATAACGCATGACGGGTTTCTGTTCAACGCCACGCATCAGTTTGTGCGTGGCGGGTGCCATCAAATCGGCAAGGTGAGCCATGCGTCAACATCTTGCCTTTCTGCTCCTTCCCACCCTGCATTCATTCCTCCATCCCTCCCAATCGAGCCATACCTTAGCATCTTACCATCCGTTCACCCGCGTCGCATGCCCCAGCTCGTGTACGCCTTACTCCCGTCCACTTCATTCTTCTCCCCTGCCCGGTCATCCCTGTCACCCCTTTCCACCCCTTTTCACCGCACTGCTTCTCCCCACACCGTGCAGTACACCTTCTCCCCAGTGGCGGCGTTGCACGAGTTGCATGGAGCATGGAGCTGGGCGTACGTGTCGGGCGGCAACTTCTACCACATGCTTGCAGAGGCGCTGCCAGCCTTTGTGGTGGCAGCACGCCTCTTCCACAAGTACCGCAAGTACCCCATCCTCGCCACAGGTGCGCAGGTGCGTGTGGTTGAGTGCAGAGTGTGTGGAGCTGGGAGATAGAGTGTGTGGAGCTGGGAGATAGAGTGTGTGGAGCTGGGAGACAGAGTGTGTGGAGCTGGGAGACAGAGTGTGTGGAGCTGGGTGCTGAGAAACAGTACCATTGCGGGCCTGTGGGTTGCTGTGTATTGATTCTCCTGTTGTGCGTCCCCAAACAAGCTTTGGCACCTTTGCCACTGCCCCTCATGCCCCACCGTATTTTGCCTTTCTTCCTCTCCTACTTCTTGCCTTGCCTCCTCCCCCTTCCCTTCTTGCCATGCATCTGTGCGGTGCGAGTGGCATCAGTGGAGGGTGTATGATCTTGTGGGAGCTGCGATCACGGGCATTCCTCGTGCGAGCATGAGAGCACTTGCCACGTTCCAAGGGGAGATTTACCACGCAGCGTGGATGCAGCAGGTCAGATGCCATGCCTGAATGGACCGACTTCCCTCACACCTGTCTGTCTTAATTCATTATGCTACAAGTCTGGGCCCGTTTTTGCCTTCCTCCCGCCTGCTATCACACCCACATCCGTGCCCCTCTCCGTGCGCCCTTGCATCAGCCCATGTACCAACAGTGTGGCACGCCCAGCAGGGCTCTCTGGCACACCATTCGCTCGCGCCATTTCCTCCACCCGGACGGTCTGCCTCTCTTCAACCCCGACTGGACCTACCGCGATCTGCCGCCCCTCACTGACGCACAGATGGCTCTCCTGCCTGCTGATTGGGTGGTCGTGCTCGCGAAGCGCCCGGGCAGGAAGCGAGCCATCATCAACTTTGCTGAGCTGGAATCGGCTGTGAAGAAGATATTTCCAGACAGGGTGGTGACGTTCAATGGGTCCATGGGGATACTGGAAGGTGAGAATAGTCATTGTTGCACCACGCTGCAGCATAGTTGCTTGCTGGCATGACCAGTTGCTTTGGCAGCCACCCGGCGGTCACTTGTCACCCACCTTGTATTTCTAATATATAAATCGCCATCCAAATGCTTTCATTTCTTCCCCCCTGCTGTTTGGTGTGCGTGTTTCCATCATCAGCACGTGACTTGTTCCGCCGAGCGCGGCTGTACATAGGCGGCCATGGTGCAGCGCTGGCAAACATGGTCTTTATGCCGGCGCAGGCAACGGTCTTGGAGATCCGTCCGAATGGGTGCCCCAACGCCTGCTTCCACCAGCTGTCGTATGCCTGCTCCCTGCGGTACCACTTGGTGTTGAGCGATGGAACATGCTACTCCTCTGTTGTGGCGCATGTCCAGAAGATCGCCGAGGCTCTTGAAATAATTGCTCGGCAATACGTTGAAGAGGACGTGGATAAGGTTACTAAAAGATAGTGTTGTGCTTTAAACTTCACTTGTTTATTCTGATAACATTGTTCATCAGTAACTGAACCTTAGGGCTTGCTCCAACTAAACGAAGTTGACTGCAGAGAGCATACAAGAAGCTGTACAACCTGACGCTTGTGAAATTCCGCTCAAATGTTGCGGTTGAGTACGGTGGTGTGCACTCTAGCTGCAACAGAGAGTGATACCACGTGGACTGGAAGCATGCCGCTGTGAACAGTGAGTGATACCACGTGGACTGGAAGCATCCCTTCTCTCGTGCCCCGACTAGGCGAGGCGAGTTGAACCTCGAGATCCTCCTCCATGTATCATGCGTCATGTAACGACCAGTGTACAAGAAATGTCCCCTCGAGAATGCCGTACAGATGGTCGTCGCCATTTCATTCACGGCACTACACGTTTTCAGGGATTATTCGCTTGTTTCTCTGCCCGTACTCCACCAACTTCCGTGTCCTTCGGGCTCGTCCTCCCTATTTCCGTACGAGGCGATGCCACTGTATGCCAAGCCAAGCAGTTGCTCAAAGAGCCTTTACGAATCTTATGGGGTTGGCTGGATGGGTATGCGCTGCATTCACATCTCTTGGGATAGGTTTTTCTCGACAAGTCCACATTCGGAAGAAAGCCAACGGTGTTATCAGCGTATATCTGAAACATGATCACGGCTGTTTACTATTGATGCATTTGCATCGAGAAACCGCCAGTGCATTACGAGCACTGATTTGAGATTTGGGCGCTGTAGAATCTTCCCTGCACTCAACATCAGTTCCACTAGCCATTAGTTGCTCATTATCTCCGCATCGACACCAATAATGGTTCCACCTGCCCGAGTTCGTCCTCACACCTTTGAACGGCGCCTCGTGTCAGCAGAATGTGGCAGGGTATCCGCGACGAAGCGCTGCTTGCTTCTCCTCGTGCTCGCGTATCCGTTCCGCGTGCGGCAGGTTGGAGCAGGTGAGTGTGTGTGGTGATGCTTGTGGAGTGCGGATGTTTCTAGATCCGCATGGCAGAAGGACCGCATTTGCACATACATACAGTCTAACTTCACCCTTCCTTGGATTCGTGGATTTTCTAAACGTTGCGATCTCGTGTGTGGACTTGGTCTCTCGCGATTATCAGCTAGCATGGGCCATCTCTGTAGCGAGATTATCAAAATTATCAACCACCTGCCAAGCCCGCACCAGGCGACGTTATGGGAGAGACAGCGCGGGTGAAGGAGGGAGCAGCAGCGACAGCACAAGCCGCGTCAGGCGGGGCCATGCAGGTTGCGCGTGGGCATGGCGCGAGTGCGAGTAACGCGCTGGAAGTGCCGAATGGGTTTCCACACCCTTCTGACAACCCGGAAGAAGCCGGCCCTTACGTGCCCATCGAATTCAGGTGCCAACATCATGCGGCGTCTCTCGCGCTCATAGCTTGTTGCTGTACCACGTCGTCACACTTCTAACAACCGCAACTAGAAAAGGCTCTTAGAATCCTATTTTTTTCGCACCTTTCCAAAGTCACTTCTTCAACCACCTTGCACTCACACTCCAGAACCTCTTCCGCCCCCACGCTCCAACCTCCGCTGACGGTCCCCCCCAGGAATGACCAGGAGCGTGCGCTGCTGAAGAGCCGGCCGCTGGGCATGCACATCAGCAGCGACGAGCAGACGAGCGTGTGGCTCAACTACTTCAAACCGAACACACTTCACGGGCCAAAGCTCAGCTGCATGGGCATTCAATGTCCGCAATTCCTCCAGTGCGTAGACGGTTTCCCCAACGTATGGGCCTGCTGGAATGGCGAGCTTGTGGATAAAGAGATGTTCCCCACTCACGCGCCTTTGAACTGCCCGATTCGGGCAGCAGGGGAGGGAAAAGTGGTGGGGGAGGAGGAAGGGGAGTACGACCTGTCGTGCAGTCACAGGGAGGACTATTGGTACCACATGCCGTGGGCTCTGCAGAATTTCCAGCTGTCGAATGTGTACATAACACACGATGGTTTTCTGTTCAACGCCACGCATCAGTTTATGCGAGGCGGGTGCCACCAGATCGGCAAGGTGAGCGAGCCATTCTCCTCGCACCCTCGGGCTCCCCCCCCAAATGCCCTCTTCCTTCATCCATTTCTCCATCCCTTTTGCCTTCTTTTTATTCCCCCAAATGCGCATCCCATCAGCGCGGTACCAAAGCGTCTCATCATCCAGTAACCCATGTCGCATGCTCCACATTGTGTTCCCTTTGCTCCCGTCAAGTTCCTTCATCTCCCCGCCCCGGTCAACCTCTTTTACCCCGTACTATCCCTTCCACCCATCAACCCCTTCCGCGCCGTGAACACCCTCCTCTGCTTCAACCGCTCCACCCGTTGCCCCACCGCGCAGTACACCTTCTCCCCAACATCCGCGGTGCACGAGTTGCATGGAGCATGGACCTGGGCGTACTTGATGGGCGGCAACTTCTACCATGTTCTTGTGGAGATGCTGCCGTGCTTTGTGGTGGCAGCACGCCTCTTCCACAAGTACCGCAAGTACCCCATCCTCGCCACAGGTGCGCAGGTGCGCGGAACAAGGGACTTGCAAGTGTGTGGCGTAATGCGGGAATGGAGAGAGGGAGGGACATTGGTGGGCCGAGCAGGTTGTTCCTTGGGGTAACAGGAAATGTGTGTTGAAGTGTGTGGAGCTTACCAGTGCGGGTCTGTGGGTTGCTATGCACCTGACAATCCACCCATCCGTCCATCCCAGCAACCCTGTGCCACTGCACTGGCTGCATGCGAGTCCCTCGTCATCGAATCTACTTTGCCCTACACTCCTTTCCTCCTCTCCTAACCCTCCCCTTGTCTCTTCCCCACCTGTGCGAAGGGCACCAGTGGAGGGCGTATGACCGCATGGGAGCGGCAATCACGGGCATTCCTCGTTCGAGCATGAGAGCGCTCGCTACGTTCCCAGGGGAGGTCTACCATGCAGCATGGGTGCAGCAGGTCAGAAGCCTTGCATGACCTCTCTGGTCTCAATGAAGCTATCCTTCAAGTCTGGCACCACTTTTGTCTTGCATGGATGGACCCCTCACCTCTCGCACCTGTTTGGTCTCAAATGAGAGTTTTGTTACATTTCTGGTCCCTTCTCACCTTCATCTCGCCTCTGTACCCTGCCCAGCATTTCTTCCCTTCTCTTTGCTTCCCTCCCGTTGCCCTCTTGCCGCAGCCCATGTTCCAGTTTTGTGGCACGCCCAGCAGGGCTCTCTGGCACACCATTCGCTCGCGCCATTTCCTCCACCCCGACGGTCTGCCTCTCTTCAACCCCGACTGGACGTACCGCGACCTGCCGCCCCTCACTGACGCACAGATGGCTCTCCTGCCTGCTGATTGGGTTGTCGTGCTGGCAAAGCGCCCAGGCAGGAAGCGAGCCATAATCAACTTTGCTGAGCTGGAATCGGCTGTGAAGATGATATTTCCAGACAGGATGGTGACGTTCAATGGGTCCATGGGGATACTGGAAGGTGAGAATAGTCATTGTTGCACCATGCTGCAGCATACCGTAGTTGCTTGCTGGCATGACCAGTTGCTTTGGCAGCCACCCGGCGGTCACTTGTCACCCACCTTGTATTTATAATACATAAATCTCCATCCAAATGCTTTCATTTCTTCCCCCCTGCTGTTTGGTGTGCGTGTTTCCATCATCAGCACGTGACTTGTTTCGTCGAGCGCGGCTGTACATAGGCGGCCACGGTGCAGCGCTGGCCAACATGGTCTTCATGCCCGCGCAGGCAACGATTCTGGAGATTCGTCCTAATGGCTGTCCTAACACCTGCTACCACCAGCTCTCATATGCATGCTCCCTGCGCTAGCACTTGGTGTTGAGCGATGGAACGTGCTATTCCTCTGTTGTGGCGCATGTCAGCAAGATAGCTGAGGCTCTTAAAATAATTGCTCAGCAGTTCCATGAAGTGGATACAAATGGGTTGTAGATAGTTTCAATGCTAAGAGAGTTGATTCTGCTAAGTTTGATCATGGATAGATTTATAAAGTCACATGTAAAAAGTCGAAAAAATAAACATGAACTTTACAATACACTCCAGAAGACACGTGCCCGCTGTTGTCAGAGGCTTTCCCAG